ATTGATGATTGTGAAAATAAAATGTATTGTTAAGGGTATCTAGAAGACCTCTAAGATATATCCATATTAATGTTGATTTGAAAGGTATCTAGAAGACCTCTAAGATATACCTATTTAAGTTAGGCCTTGCGGGTATGAACCCCGGTGGCTAGGGTTAAAACGTACGTACGGGATCCAAGAACCAAACTTGAGTACCTACTCGTTTGGGGGTACCACCCACCCAACAGTGAACACTACGCTGTCGGTTTTTGGTTGGCCTTAAGTGAAGGTAAGTTTAAGATTTTCAAAACCCTTTTATCTTAAACTAGGCCTAGCTTAAGGATTATTTAGGAATATTTTATACTGGAATATAGTTTAATTATTTAAACTAGAATTCGTTTAAGGGTTGACAAATTTAAAGTGATTGGCCTTAGACTAAGAATAGTTTAAGGATATTGTTGAATATTGAATATTGAATATGAGTAAATATTGAATGATGAATATTGAATTGAATATTGCAATTATTATGAATGACTGATGAACATTGAATGTGAATATAAATGTTGAATAATGCATGATGAATAATTTTTAATAATTATTGATTATCTGAACTGAACATTATGTGCATGATATCAAATGATTTGATTATGAATTTAGATTCAGTTTATATGGATGTTCGATGCATTAGATATGCTTACTCAGCTTCAACGCTGAGCGTGTAGTATGTTTTATTTGCTACACGCAGGTTAATGAAGTAACGTGATCCTGGAGGCAGACAGAGGCGAGATTGTCGGAATGGATGTGATAGTTTTGAATTACGGAACATAAATAAATTATGTTTGTGATTATGATTGTTAAGCTTCCGCAATATTGAAAAATCCGTACTGTTTATATTATGAAAAATATTATTGTGATAAATAAAAGTGTTTGAAATGTTTTAAATTTTTACGATTACCAAGTTAATACTTTAATCTGAAAGGGGCTGTAGACCTGGACAGATTAGGGTGTTACATGGTGAGCAAGCTCTTCGCGCCCGTCCTCGGGAAGAGCATGGAGGTGTACGTCGACGACATGATTGTGAAGAGCAAGCAGACGACCACCCATGCATAAGACTTAGAAGGAGTTTTCAAGATCATGGAGAAGTACAACCTTCGGCTGAATCTGAAGAAGTGCACGTTCGGAGTTCAAGGCGGTAAGTTCTTGGGACACATGGTGAGCAGGCGCGGTATTGAGCCCAACCCCGAGAAGGTGCGCGCCATCCTTGACATGGAAGCCCCACGAAATGTCAAGGAGGTGCAGCGCTTGACCGGAAAGTTGGTTGCGCTCAGCCGTTTCCTCTCCAAGGTAGCGGACCGAGCCGCTCCGTTCTTCCAAGCTGTGAAGAAGTCCTGAGGGTTCGTATGGACGGAAGACTGCCAACAATCCTTTGAATCTCTGAAATCTTATCTCCTCTCTCCGCCGGTCCTTGCCAAGCCCGAGCCCGGGGAGACTTTGTATCTTTACTTGGGAGTGTCGCCCAAGGCGCTAAGCTCGGTCCTAGTCCGAGAAGATGGCGGAGCTCAGCACCCAGTGTACTACACGGCAAAGACGTTGAGGGGTGCCAAGCTCAGGTACTCAGTGGCCGAAAAGACGGTCCTAGCTGTGGGGTGAACCGTGCAGCGGTTGACGCCCTACTTCCAAGCTCACCCGGTTCTGGTGCTCTCCCAACAGCCCATAGCTGCGCTGCTCAGGAGTCCGAACGCGCCCTCTCGCATGTCCAAGTGGGCGGTGTTCCTTGGAGCCTTCTAGATCGAGTTCAAGCCAAGGCCGGCGATCAAGGGTCAAGCGTTGGCCGACTTTGTGGTAGAGTGCACCGCTCGAGAAGAGCCGAGCCCGAAACTTGAAACCAATGATTGGTGGGCAGTTTTTACCGACGGCTCCTCCGCCGCCAAAAACTCGAGGGGTAAAGTGGTGGTCATTGCTCCCGAAGGTTTTAGAGCGTACTATTCAATTCGATTCGGTTTCAAGGCATCGAATAATGTGGCGGAATATGAAGCGCTCTTGTGCGGTCCTAGCAGCCGGGATGAACGCGATGAAACTAAGAATAAAGTGTGATTCGAAGTTGGTGGTTGGCCATGTCTCGGGGGAGTTCGAGGCGAAGGACGAAAGAATGAAGAAATACAGAGATACGGCCTTGGAACTCCTTAAAAGCTTCACCGCATATAGTGTTGAGAAGATTCCCCGGGCGGAGAATGCCGAGGCAGATATCTTGTCAAAGCTGAGCTCGGATACGCCCGAGCATATCAGGCGGATGGCGAACGTGGAAGAGTTGTCGGAGCCGAGCATCCACGCCTTCCCCGTGGCAATGATTTGTGCTCGGCCCAAAGATTGGATGGACGACATAATTGCCTTCCTAAAGGATGGTGCCCTCCCGGATGACGCAGTGAAGGCCAAGTTGGTCCGGACAAGGGCACTGGGGTATACATTGGAAGGCGAGAAGCTATACAAGCGAGCGTACAACGGGACGCTACTCAGGTGCCTTAAACCAACTAAAGCGAAGCAAGTTATGGAGGAGGTGCACGCCGGAATCTGCTCCGCCCACCAGGGGGCTTAAGCAGTGTCGAGGAAGATAACCCTCCAAGGATATTTTTGGCCAACAATCGTCAAGGATTGCGCGGAGTTCGTAAAGAAGTGTAAAGTGTGCCAAGAGTTCCAGAAGGTACCGGGGAGGCCTTCAACGAATTACACCCCCATCAGCACAGCCATTCCGTTCGCGCGATGGGGGGTGGATCTCGTGGGTGCACTCCCCAGGGGCACCGGGAACGTGAGGTACGTCATCGTAGCCATCGACTATTTCACTAAGTGGGTGGAAGCAGCCCCAATGGCAAGCATCACCGGAGCTCAATGCCTGAAGTTTCTCGCAAAGCAAGTCATCTGCCGCTTCGGCGTCCCCGAGCACATAATTACAGACAATGAGACACAATTCGAGTCCAAGCCCTTCAATACCATCCTCGAGAGTTGGGGAATCAATCACAGCTATGCGTCGGTCGGGTACCCTCAGACAAATGGTCGGGTCGAGAACGCCAACCGAACGATAATTGATGGTCTGAAACGGAAGTTGGAAGCCTGCGGAGGGGAGTGGGCTGAAGAATTGCCTTACATCCTATGGACCTACCGGACCACGCCTAGGAGGGCAACCGGGGAAACCCCCTTCGTCTTGTGCTACAGATTCGAGGCGAGGGCTCCTGCAGAGATCTCTCTTACAACTCATCGGGAGGAGATCTTCGACCCCGAGCGTAACGAAGAAACCTTGGCAGCCGAGCTCCACCTCGGGCATGAAAGGCGAGAAGCGGCCTTCATACGGGCAGAAAATTACCGAAGAAAGGTGAAAAGCTACCATGACGGACGCGTGCGCGCACGAGGGTTTGCCGAAGGAGATTGGGTGCTGCGCAAGAGAACAGTGAGCCGCCCCCTGGAAGGAGGGAAGTTCGCCAAAAATTACGAAGGCCCATACATCATCAAAGAAGTGGTGGGCCCTTCAACGTTCCGCCTGCAGACACCGAGGGGAGGGGACGTGCCCAGGACATGGAACGCCGAGAACTTAGTTAAGTTTTATCAGTAGACTTTTGATGTACACGGACCTCAAAAAGGGAACCCGTAGGTCTTTTCGATTGAACTCAATGGAATGGTTTTTTACGAAAAGAGCTCGATTGAACACCCACAGAAGGATGGGCCGAGCACAGACCATACCCGGATGTTCTTCCCGGATGAAGGTCAAAAACCCGTGCTCGGCGTTCCTCCCTAGGATGTTCTTCCCGGGTGAAAGTCAAACGCTCGCGCTCGTTCTTTCCCCTCAGGGGAAGGGCCGAGCGCAGACCGTACCCGGACGTTTTTCCCGGCTGAAGGTCTAACATTCGTGCTCGGCTCTCCCCTTCAGGAGAAGAGCCGAGCGCAGACCGTACCCGGACGTTTTTCCCAGATGAAGGTCAAAACATTCGTGCTCGGTTCTCACCTTCAGGGGAAGAGCCGAGCGCAGACCGTACTCGGACGTTTTTCCCGGATGAAGGTCAAACATTCGTACTCGGCTCTCCCCTTCAAGGGAAGAGCCGAGCGCAGACCATACCTAGATGTTTTTCCCGGATGAAGGTCAAACATTCGTACTCGGCTCTCCTTTTCAAGGGAAGAGCCGAGCGCAGACCATACCCGGACGTTTTTTCCGGATGAAGGTCAAACATTCGGGCTCGGCTCTCCCCTTCAGGGGAAGAGCGGCTCTCCCCTTCAGGGGAAGAGCCGAGCACAGGACATACCCGGACGTTTCTCCCGGATGAAGGTCAAGCTTTCGTGCTCGGCACTTCCCCTCAGAAGGAGAGCCGAGCGCAACCCTTTAGGTCAATGGCGAAAAGCGAAAACAAAACTTAATCAATTCCAAACTTTATTTATCCCAGAAAACGAGCAAGTACATGACACAAACGCCTTACAATAATTAAGCACCGTACAACAACTAAGATACGAGTAGACTTTAGTGCATGCCACAGTTCCACCCCCGCTCGCACGGGCAAGGTGGGGGGTAGGAAGGTGGAGAAGGAGCCCTGCTGACGACGGAGTACCTGGTGGACTCAGCATAGATGGGCGAGCCTGGGTCTTCGAGGGAACATCAACTCGGATGGTGGGACGCTACGGAGCTCTCGCTCGGAGCTGCTGTGGGAGGAGCTCGGGGACGGCGACCTCGGCCCCTGCGGCCGGCAGGGACCGGGGGAGCGGAAACCTCACGCCGGGCCGGCGGAACAGGTGGAGATGGGGTCTTCTCGTCGTCATCCGATGAGTAATAAATGAACCCCAGAATCTTGACAAAGGGATTGGGGTGCACCGACTCGAACTCAAACTCTGAATCCCAAGAGTCCCGCGGTGAGGGCGGCGGGGTCGAGCTAGGACCCGACTTGGTTGGGATGGCAGAAGAGCCCCCGAGGGAGTAGATGCCAAAGGAGAATGTCTCTCCTCGCGTCTCGCTGGAATCGGGGGGAGTGGGAGCCGAGCGCGGCATGGCGAGACTAGAAGAAATTCAAAGAAGGCAAGTGATGAGTGCAAACAAATGGTGAGGACCTCTCCCTTATATAGGCATCTTGCCTAAGGGAGAAGGTACACGTTGCAGGACGTGAACAGTCAAACTGGCGGCAGGTCAAAAGGTCAAGTCCCAAGGATTCTCTCGGTTAACGAGGGGACAGAAAAAGGACCAAGTCCCAAAGTGACCTCTCTTCGGCGTGGCCGAGTTCAGGCCGGACGGGGGAGGGGCGAGCACGCAAGTTAAAGGAGAAGACGGAGGCAGCAAAATTAAGGGCAAAAGAGAGAAGCATAGCATACCCATACAAAGTGTCAAGTCATAACATATCCGAATTCAAAAAATAATAATAATATAACAAGTCTTGAGCAGCATTACACCAAAAACAACAAAGGTTGTCACATCACTCGGCATTCTTCTGCACACCGGCCGTGTCCCCGTCATTCGTGTAATAGATGGAAGTGTCAAACGCATCAGGATTGTCGCACGGCTCGGGGAAGTCCTCCCCGGCGAGGAACCTGTCCAAAAGGACCTATTGCGCTCGGAACAGACCGAGGTTGTACCAAGATGTCCCTTCGGAGCGAGCGAAGTCCTTCCCCTCGTCAGTCTGCCCCCATGCCTTGAGCAGGTCATTCATGTGGGCGAAGGCCTCATCTTGGAACGCCCCCGAGGATATGAACTCGACCACGGCCTGCTCGCGGGCCTCCTGGCGCGCCTGGCGAGCAGCCTCCTCCACGAGCTGCTGAGCCCGCTCCTCGGCCTGGCGAGCTTGCTCCTTGGCCGCCTTCAACGCCTCATTGAGGTCGTCTATCTCAACATAAGCCCTGCTCCGGTCATCCTCACTGACGCGCAGCCGCTCACTCATGTCGACCATGCGCATCATCGCCTGCAAATAATTAAGGGGTGAGCGCCGCTGGTGAATTACATTTATAAGGTAACAAGGGAAACTTACCGAGTCCAGCTCGTGGAAAGTATCCGAGGCCAGGGTCTCCCGGTCGATATCCTTTATCTTGGCGCGATCGGTGGGAGGAGTGAAACTGCGCAGGAAGGTCTCCGGGTCGTAATCCCGGTCCAGAAAGGAGACCCGAGCAGGGAAGGCCGCCTTGACATACTTGGGATGGCCGAAATCCTTCATCATGGGGGACTTGGACCCCTGGGGAGCGTCCTCGACCGAGGGCGTCTCCTTCCTCTTCTTCTTCTGGGCCGGCTCGGAGGTCGGCTTCACGGGTGGTGTTGGAGGACGGCCGCCCGAAGTGGGAGCCTGGGAGTTGCCGCTCGGAGCATCCGTGAACATGAGCTTCACCCGCTCGGCGTTGGAAAGCATGATTTCACCTGCACAAAACCAAAGAAGACAAGTGGTGAGGCGAGGACTTAAGCTGCAAAAGAGCGATGTGGAGGAATCCAAGGTAGTCGCGACCCATGGACGGTTGAGGAGGAGAGATTGCATTAACCTGAGGGGCCTTCTTCGATGCTCCGTTGATTATCTTCCGGGGATAGGAAGACGAAGCCGAGCGCTGCTAACGCCTCGTTCGTCACTGTCGAGCCGACTTCGAAGGGCCCCCCTCGGCAGAGCGTCTCTACATCCTTGAGCATCTTGTCCGAGGTGATGAACGCAGAACGACGACGAAAGGAGCTGAGGGGTTCCTCGCGAAAGGGGGAGCCCGAGGAAAGAGAAACAAAGATGAACTTCCCCTTCCAGCTCTTGGCGGAGTCCTTCCTCGTCTTGAAAAGCTTCTCTTACCTCTGGGAGATAGAGGCGTACGAGCCCGAGTCGGAGTTCGACCGACCGGATGACTTCGCCAGCCGGAAGAGTAACAGGAAGCGGGCCAAATCGGGGCGAACCCTAGTCCCTTGGCAACGAATAAGAAACCCCGCCAGGTAACGGTGGGATTTGGGCACGACTTGGCAAGGGAGAAAATCAAAATGGAGGAAAAAGTCTGACTAACTAATGGAGGGGGAATCGGAACCCATACTCGAGGGACTTGAGGTGGATGACCAAGAAACCCGGAGGGGCATCAAAGACCGACTGTTCGGAGGTGGGACGGCGCATGGTAACTGAAAGGTAACCATGCAAGGATAGACAGCGGAATATAAAAAATTTTTAACATCCTAACATGATTATCTTGCCCAGAATCACGTACTAAAACTAATAGTGAGTAAGAAATTTATACCTTTCTCCGTAAGCGGTAAAAACGAAGAGGTCGTAGGAAGAGCGTTGAAAGTGCAAACGTAACCGTTCAAGCGTCCGGTCTCCAACTTTGACACACGAACAACGCCGGAGTCTACCACAATCTTTATGCTAGTAAAGATTATAGTAGTATAAAATATAAAGATTAAAATTGGGATAATAATAATCTTGTATATTTCAATAGAAAATATTTCTAATAATATTTAGAAAATATTATAAATATTTTCTATACACAAAATGATATTAATGGAACCAAACTAATAATTTTCTCTCTTGAAAATAGTATGGCCGAATCACCTTCACACCTTAACAATGAACATAGTGTATAATTATTTAAAGAGGATTTTAAAAACCAATCATACACTTAATGACAAATTAGGAAATTTCCTACATCTTTAAAATGCAAAGTCAAAACAATTTTGTCCCCATTAACATCACATGGCCGAAAGAAATATGATTGTGATTGCGAGAAGGATTTTCAAAATTCTTCTCCACTTA